TGCTCAGACTGGAGGAGATGCCAATAGATGCAACTCTTTATGTGCCGAGAGTTCATGCCTGGACCGAGGCTGGTTGCCAATCTGAGATGTGCCTGAATCTTACAGCCCCTCTTTGAACGTGTGGCCTGTGCCACGGACGGGACGAGGGAGTTTTTTCTTGCAGGTCGCGATGACGACCTGCATCACCGTAATGGGCACTGGCCTCGCCCTGCGCGGGCCAGATGGCTCCATGGTTCGGGCAGTGGAAGGAGCGCCACGCTGTCGGATCGACTTGTCAGGGAATGTGGGAATGAGTGCTTGTGTAACCTTGGAGGCATGTACAACCAGAGAGCCATCGTCTTTAGGCGCGCCTTTGCATGGCTCCTGCGGGAAGATTCCAGAGAGCGCCGTTGCTTTCATTTTCGTCTTGTTGCCCCGGGAGGTCATTTGGCACTGGTATCGTGGCTTGCTGCTGTAGTGTGGCAGTGATTGCCTGGATCAAGACCCTTGGTCCCAAGGTGGCTAAGGCCAGTCTAGTTTGGTGTGTCGAGGCCGACCGCCGTCTGTGGTAAAAAGACCGCCAGGGGTTCGGAGCTGAGGATGGATGCCATTCCGGCCTGCATATGTACTGGCGCGATCGCCTGGACCCTTTGTTCCATCGCGCCCTGCCTCAATGGGTACTGTCACCGCTTCCATGGGCCGATGATCCCATGGCTTTGCAGTGTCATGCTGTGAGGCGAGATACACTAGATTTTACTTGGACTTCTTCAAGTTCAACGAGGACGAGGCGCATGAAATCTGCTTGCGGCACACACTGACCCCAGTCCTGACTTCACCTCCCGTTGGCAGCCCATCGACAAAGGTTGTCAGCCTAGATGACATCCTTGGCGCGGACCTTGTGAACAAGGAGAACATCGTAAAGCAGCCTCTTGCGAAGCAGACCAGAGGTGTATGCTCCTTCAAGGCCTTCTCTCTTTTGGCTAAAAGGAGAAGATGCAGCATCTCTTGTATCTCTGGTGTTCCGAGGCTCGGGATCGGCAGCGACACGCTTGTGCGACTTCTTGGGGCGATTACACAGAACCGACGACAGCACACTCCTGACACAGATGTGTAGAAGTGGTGCAGGCGCAAACGCCGCTGCATCGTTCTGTTCCCCAGACATGCTGCCTAAAATCAGGCGGAGTCACTGCTGACTGTGGGTGTGTCCTCATGAACCACGCGCCCGGCAGAAACCTTCACATCCCATCATCTGCTTCAAACTTCAGCCATCTGTAGTCTAGTTGAGAAATCATCCAGGCGCGCACGCTAGACCAACTTTTTGACACAGAGAAAAATGGATTGGTCTCTGTGGTCAGTTCCGTGCGGAGTTTTCTTGCAAGCGCGGGCTTTGGTGCAAGCTGTGGGCAATGACGTTGCGGATAGATTTGGTCACGAGGGCCCACCTTGGTGGGTCTTACTGCTTGCCAGTCGCTTCCCCCAGCACTCAGCGAAGCCTGTTTCCGAAATCCGAGTTGCTTTCGCCCGAAGCAGGCGGACCAGCGCAGCTCGAAATAGCTGCGCGGAGTGGGCCGAGAGACCCTCATAATCTCCAGAATCGCTCCACGTGCACGACGTATGCTCTGCAGCCTTGTCACCTGAAGCAAACCTGAAGCGAAGCTTTGTTGCTGAGCAGCCGCCTTGGCTGCATTTCAGACATGCAAAAGTCGCTCGCGAGCAAACAAAAGAAGGCTTCAAGGCTCCGAGAGCAGGTTGTTGCGGCCGGAAGCCCAGCCGTCGCAGACGGCTCCCCCGCTCCTCACCTCCCAAAGGTGGGCAAGCAACTGCAACGCCTGGCGCCGAAGCCCGGGCAGCTCGTGGAGTTCGATGCGCGCGTGAGGTGGTACAGGCTGTGGCCGGGAAGAACACGCGGCAGAGTTCTCTTTTGCGCTGTGTCCAATCCGGCCCTTTCAGGAAGCTTGGCGGTTGGGACCTTCGCCTTTCCCACCACACGAGCCTCGCCTCGCTGACACAGAGTCAGAGTCTATCACTCGGCTCTTCTTAAGTTCTTCGTTCGCTCTCGCCCTCCGAGGAGATTTGAGAAAGCTGGGATGGCTGTCCGAAGAGCCTGAACACGGCCACAAAAGAAAAGGCCGGATGCAGCCGCCTGCAAAGCGTTGGAGCATTGGCTTGTCACCTTTGCACATGGGGAGCTCTATCAGCGACCCCTTGAACGAAGACATGGCCGCGGGCTTTCATGCCCAGTGGCGGCGTCTCACGGCTAACGCTTGCTTCAGCCTGGTGGAAAAGAGGCACGCCTTTACCGCACCGGCGATTCTCGAAGTCTCGGTTGGAAGCTTATCTAAAACAACATCCCTTCTCCCATCCTCTCCAAGTAAAGTCGCATCGAGCTAGACCGGTTTGCCGTTTCTTGGGTTCCTGTCTGCTCCTCGACCACAAGGCACAATGAACGTCGGCATGATTCTCAGCATCAGAATCATCACTATACAAGTTTCCTCCCCATCGTCATGAAATCATGGCTATCACCGACCAATGTCATCAGGATTGTCATTGCCATCACTGTCATGCCGAGAGACAGCATACCGTGTCCCTCATGGCTGTGAGCCGTTCTTCGAAACGGCCAGGTGGACTTGATTGTGGCTTGCCTTCTCGGGGATCGGCTGGCTGCCGAGATTCTTCCGGAGGAACGTCTGTGGTAATCAGGAAAAGCATTTTGGCACACGAATTGCTCAGAGCCTTCGTTCGACCCAGGCCCGCGGTGTCACTTGCTGTCTTTGGTGAGGCCTGGGATACAACTTACAAAAAACTTGCTAGTGCGGTGCAAGCATGTCAGTATCCGAAGCTTTTGTCGACACAGCCAGAACAGCTTAGGTTTTGTGGACGTGGATGCTCTTAGATCTTGCTAGAATTACAGGTTCTTGTCCAGCTGGTTTCTGCAGGCATTAGATGTAGACATGATCGGATGGTTGGACTGCACACCTCGTGGAGGCCATCGAACATGCGCTGTCGACCGGAGAGATGGATGCTGTGCTGCTAGCAACGGAGCTTGCTGGTGTCTGGACTATGTGCTCATTCTGCAGCGTGCAAGCCAAGCCCCACTGCGGCGCGGACCCATTTTAGTTCCGAGGTGAGTCTGCAGAGGGTCTAGCGGCACTCGCGGGGCAGCATCCAGTCGATGCCCAGCGCCAAGTGCAATTTCGGCAGCCACGCTGTATGTAGTCTAGCACAGTCTGATGTTGGTCATGCCCAACTTATCAGGCTGTCACCTCATTGGCGACATCTCCTGACCCGGATGCACTTCACAGGCGAACACGCTCGCGTCGACTGCATTCCACGGCGGTTGACAAGCCTGGACAGGTTCCTGCTTTGGCTCCCGAAGAACCTGGATGGAAGCGTGGACTGGGCGACTGCGGAGGCACGGTCTGCAGTGAGCCGACTAACGATGCCTTGTTGTGGCATGCGCGCAGGAGTGGAGAGCATCATCCGTCAAATCGTCGAAAGCCGGGTAGCGCTGGAGAGAGGTGAGAGGGGAGAGATCCGGTTTCACCTTGCACCGCAATGCTCATTTAGGGGAGTGTTGGGGCCTTGCCACCTGCATGCTTCCCCAGCAGAGTGTCCTCAAGGAACCTTTGCGGTAGCGCTCGGTTGACACGGAGATAGCAGCAAAAGATCTGGGCACGCGCTGCCCTGCTCTTCCGGCGGACTCATCCTCCGAAATATTGGCTTAGCACGAATGCTGAAGAACACAGCTTCGATCTCCCCAAGTCGCGAAACTCAGAGGCTTTCACCGAAACTTCTGCATCGTCTCCTGGCCCTTGTTGACTCGGTAGGCTTCGTGCAGCCCGGCTCAAAGGCGTGCCAGAAGCCATGACTTCTGCTTGGGAGTCGGACGTTGTGGAGTGCAAGCTGTGCGACCACTGCGAGTACCGAGCAGAGCGTGGGAAGGCGACGTGCTGCGACAAATGCAACGCGTCGCATGACAGCGGCGTCGCCGGCCATGAGGCGCACTGCCCTCGGCTGAGCCGGGAGGCCGAAGGGCTTCGAACTCTTCGACCACTGTTTAGCCTTTTTGTAACATCTTTCGTTCCAGGGCTGATCACATTCCTTGCTTCAGGGGTTGTGGTAGCATCGCTAGGATCGTGTCCCTGCTGTTTTTCGTGTTGGCTTACTCCCTCGGTGAGCTGCTTGAGCAGAGAGCACATGGGTTCTGCAGGCTCGGATAGCATCCGAGAATGGAAGGGCTAGTCGGCCGTCGGTAGGAGTCCGGCGGCATGCTTCAACTGCGTTTTTGTCTGGGGCGAGGCGGGTCGTGCGCGCGCGCTTTAGAGAAGACTGCGCGCGGGTCGAAATCTTTGCCTCATTTCGAAACGGGTACCCGGCCTCGGCGAATTATGTCAGAGATGCATTGATGGTAGACTTTGTAAGTACAGTTTTCGCCGCATCCATATCCAGGTTTTGCAGCAATGCCGCTGGGAGCATTTCCGGTGCGACCTCGGCGCCGAGGAACGGGCAGATGCATAGTGATTTTTTCTGCCATGGTTTATGCCTTGGGGTAAGCTGCTTCGAGCTCCTCGGCTCGTATCTCGAATCCCCTGGACATAGGTTCAAGCTCCTCAATCGAACAGGGCATCGAGGGTAGTGCATCTGAGAAGCAGCTTCTGATTTTCAGGGGTATCCCCATCGAAGCCTTGGGCCGGATCCCAATTTCATAATGCACGCAGCGCAGATCTGCTCGAACAGTGACAAGTTGTGGAGGAGGAGGCCATCTGCCTCGTTGTGCCACCGCGGGCCCCCATCGAAGGCCCCGCTCCGGTACTCCTATTCCTGACAGGCCAGGCGTCCAAGTCCAAACCAACATCGAGCTTCGCTAAGACTCGTTTTGAGCCACCAAAATTTCACTGAGACAGGCAATGGTCATGTGGATGACCGTCAAGACTTCCTTTCGGGAGGCGTCGACCAGTTGATCCGGAACGGGGATCTCCAGAAGTATGTTCTTCTGGCCCCCAAACCACTGTGGAAGACCGGGGTCCTACGCCACAACGACAGCTGGAGAAACGCTTGGTGCGAAGATGCTGTTTGGGCACTTGTGACAGAAATGCTGCGTCGGCTTGGACCAGCCAACGTGGACCCAACGCGGCTTTATGCCACTGGTCTGTCTTTAGGTGCCATCGGGGTTTGGCATTTGGCATTGCGCTACGGCGAGTATCTGGCAGGGATTGTCCCCGTTTCTGGTCGATGCGAATGGCCGTTCAACTCCTGGCCCAAAACGGGCGGCGTGGATCAAGCTGTCGCTAAGCGCCTTGAGAACATCCCATTGCGTTGCTATCAGATTGACGCCGACCGCTACGGAGGCACACCTGTGCACGACCTGGAGTGGCTGTGCTGGGGGCTCCCGGAGACCAGCCGCGAGGTCACGCTGCGAGGTATGGAGCCTGACCGGCAGGTTGAAGTGAAGATCCGCAGCTGGGAGCGACCAAGCGGTAAGCACTGGGACCTCTGGGAAGCAAAGGGGCCTCTCAAAGACTGGGCATATTACGACGACTGGGGAGGTGACAAGCACTGCCTGTGGAACAGAGTTTATCCATTTCCGGAATGGGGCCTGCCTTCCTTTCTCGCTTCTCATGCTGTACCTCACGATCGTTGAAACATGATTGCAACCAGTCTCATTCGCTCTCACTGCCTGCCACAATCGCTGATTTTTTGGGCAAATTTCGGTGCGCCGTGTCCGAGGCTGGAAGCTGGATATGCCAATTCCCGTGGTGGACTCTTCCAAGGTGGAGGACCCTGAACAGAGAGGTCGTAGCTGTGCCGCAGGGTCTTTGGGAGTGGGGGCGGGCCAGGATTCCATGGAAGTGGACCAGGTCGAAAGCCGTCCGGAGCCGCCGGAGCCACAGCTAGGAGATTCTGGAGCCCCTCCCAGAGGCACGTCTCGCAGAGGCCCTGCAAGATGAGCACCGGAGACATGGAGGTCATGGAGGCTCCCGGGTCCTTTTCTCCGAGGCAAGCCCCTCGAAACCTGAGCTTGGATCAGGAGCAGGTCCAGCTGCGCCATGAAGAGAGCGAAATCGTCCAGGCTATCGGAGCCTGAACCCGTGCCCGCTTCTGGAGGACTTCACAGTAGTCCCTTCGATGTCTGCATGGTGTGGCCATGTAGACTATGCTGACTATGCAAGCATGCAGCTGCCATGCATCGTCGTGGCTTGCCTCCGTAGTTGTCCTGTATCACAGCTACCAAGCGCTCTGGCCTTCGGGTGGACATGCGCAAAAGGCCGAGCAGCCGTGAGTATACAGATGTTCAGGAAGCAACGGTCAAGCTGTGGCTGTGAGCAGGATGTTCATCACAGGCGAAGCTTGTGATCTTTCAAGTGTTGATCGATCCGGCGACCAGCAAGTAAATGCATAGCAACTACCGAGCTGCTACGCAAACCCCCGTGCAGGCCAATGCATCGCCCCACAGCCCTGCATCGTGTGGATATTGGAAATCGAGCGTCGTAGAAGTCTTGAGTAAACCGCGTAGCACTTGTCGTAACCTGTGTGGGAGCGGCACACTTCTTTGGACGGAATCTGGCTGTGAGCCATCATGTCTCAGGCTCTGAGATTTGCCTAACTGGTATGTCCTCTGCCTGTGGAGACCTGCACAGATGCGCGGCACGTTAGGCACCTGCTACATGTGCCGGACGATGAAAAGATCGAAAGGGTGTCCGATGTGCTACTCTTTGATGTGGTTCAAGCCGGCATACAAGCCGGGAAGGCATGTGCGACCCAAGGCAGGGTCCTTGAGGAGTGGGGAGGTTCAGATGCCTTCGCCGCGAAGTTTGTTTTCCAAGCTGCGTTCGCATCAAGCTGCCGGTGCGCCACAGTGATGGATTCTCGGTCAGCAATCGCAGATCATTCTGCACGGGCCATCAAGACAGTACAGTAGGACTCTGTACGACTGCTTCGCAGCCAAGGAGCTACTGCCCGCCAGCCTTCCAGAGCAGCGCCCGCGCAGCTTCGGCGGCGAGGCCGGGCCCGGCACTGTTCAAGGCCCCCGGCCCCAGACCCAGCCGTTCAGCGATTCTGGCAGGACTTTCCCCTGGTGCTCTCGCTGCTTGCCTCAGTGAACGGCCGCTGAGCCGTTGCTTCCACAAATTTGCAGAGCTCGCCTTCGAGGCCAAGCCGACAAAGCAGCGCGCGAGAGCTCTCTGCCTGGGCCGCTTCGCGCTCCGCAGAGCTCCAAAAGCTGCCGCTTGGCCCCTTTGCAGAGACCGCTCCGACGCTTGCCCACGCCCTCCCCCTCCTCGCCTTCTTGTGCCTCTCAGTTTGCTTCAGCATGGCGCGGTGCTTTTCCGGGACTGCCTTGGCCTCAAACTGGAGAAAGGCCACTTGGCACGTGTGCAATGTCGTGCGCTTGTGCAGGCGGCATCACCAGTGCGGAGGACTTCGGTCTGGTGGTGCGGGCAATGGGCTGTGAAGGCTACGACTATGTTGGTGGTGCGGCGCCTCGTACAGAGGTCGTGAAAGGACGGGAACTGCTTGTCTGATTGCTGTCTGTTTTCCCGTGTCCCGCCCAGAATTGCGAGCTCCAAAGGCGTAGTCTTCACATCCAACGAGTCCCCGCCGGACCAACCGATCCCCTTCCACCACGAGCTGGCGTGGCGTGCCAACGTCGTGTTGCAGTTCTGTGCAGAAGAAGTGGCAGCAGTTGCTCCGGAAGTTTCGGCAAGCTGCACGCGACACCTTAGGCAATCGCCGACACCACCCAACTACATACTTTTTTGCTGCGAAGTTGAGTCCAAGCATGGAGGGGCGACACCCATCATCCCTTCGGCACTCAGTCAGCACTTTGGGCTATGCCTGCTTCTTGAGACAATGGCGACGTTTCCGGGCTGCTGATCAAGTCAAAGGTTGCCGTGAAAGTGCGTCTGTGCATGCTGCATGACCGAGGATGAGGTGGCCGACTTCTTCATGAGCCACTTCCCCGACTTTGCACGGGAGGTCTAGCACTGTTGCTGTAGCTTCTGGGCGGCCCTTCTCTGCCCTGTCCGCCAGGTCGAAGCCAAAGGGGTGCGCTACATTCGCACCATGCCAGAGGTCACAGATCCCACGTCTGCCCAGGTCCAAAGCTTCAGGATTCTTGCATGGAGCAGGTTGCGCATACAGAGAAGCGCTTTTTGTACATTCGAGGAACTGGTCAGCGTTGTACATGTGCCTTTTTGATACTTAATCATTTCCAGAAAAGTCTGAGTCGGTCCCTGTTGCTTCAGAATATGGACTTTTTGTTCTTGCGGGTACTAACTAACAACGTATACGATGATTCCGATGCTGTAGTGCCACTGAAAACCCTTCAGGAGGGATCCGGAGTGTAGCGGGCACATGACTTTCTTTGCAGGGGCGCTCCTGGGCGGAGTCCTACGCGGTCAAAACGCGAGAAGAGGCGGAGGAGGTGATGACAAAGCAAGGCCGGGCCACCAACTAAACGTGAGAACCTTTGAGAACAGCCCCAAACCCTAAGCCATCCTTAAACCCATGAGCCCTAAACCATCCTAAGCCCACAAACCCAAAAGCGTCATGTAGGCTCCACGTGGGAATGGCTGTCGGGGGGCGACCTGAAAGTAACGACGGCGGCTCTGCCGGCCCTGCGCTCCTCGGATACGCAGCTGGCGGCTTGCGGTTGGCGCGTGTTGGTGTGCTCTGTTCTTTCTGGGCATCTAGCTCGTCCGCCTCCTTTCCTCTCCTTCTCAGGCATGGACGAACGAACGGGGCGCCGCGTCTTCTTCAACTCCGTCATCGCCGCCTTCACCGGTTGGAACGACTCCAGGCTTGGGGCTCGGAGTGTGGCTCGTGTCCATGCCGTTTCTCCTTGAGGAATGTGGGCGAGGAGGCCGTCCTGCTTGGCGACTTCAGCCCCGTGAACAAGCATGCGCTGAGGGCGGTCGCACGCTTTATGGCCGAGAGAGAGGTGGCCTTCGCCTGGAAGAAGGGCGTGGCTTGTCTATCCAACTCTTTCAGAAGGCTCCTGGTTCAGGATGCTCCTTCCGTTGCTCGGAGCCAAGGACATTCTCATCGTTGACAACGGCAGTGCGTTTCGGAAGCAGGTTTCTGCCAAGCTTGTAGTGGCGGAGCTTGGCACCTCGCAGGTCCTCCACTCCCGGCAGAGCTTCGAGCCTCCGCGCCGAGTCCTTGCGGCGCTGCGGGGAAAACCGCTCTTGGGCCCCGCCCTCCGAGCAGGCGCGAGCGGGGGAGCGGCAACGGAAAAAACGGCGCTTCGTGAGTCAGGTATCATTGGCACTGGGGCCATGGGCAAGGAGCACATTCGCAACGTGGCACCGCGACTGCAAAAGGCAAAGAGTAAGTTGTGCGATGTTTTCCAGCAACTTCTAAGTAGCAGCTGCTTATCAAAAGCACTATACAAACACTCACCTCATGAGGCCTTGATGGGTGAGCAGATGGTCGTGACGGCCATTGCCGATTCGAGCGAGGCCCGGGCCTGACACAGGGCCAAGCACTTCTAGGGGGCACTAATAAGAAATGCGCGACGAATTCTGTCGCATTGCGTCGGCCCCTCCTTCGGTTTAGTTAAAATCTAGTTCAAAGGCGCGGCTTTCGTGCAGAGTCTGACGTGCAGAGTGCAGAACCAGTTGATAAGATGAGGGGCAAGCACCAGTGCACACCCGTCCCGAAACTCTGATTCCGGTCTTTTCCGCCCCTTCGTCCAGGCGGCCTTGCGCGAGGCCCTTGAGGAGCTCGGTGGTGCCTCGGCCGGCAGGAGGATGCAGGAGGAAAACGGTTGAAGCCCAGCTGCTTGTACAACAGGTGTGCAACTGTGCGTCCGGCGATGTGCGGCTCTCTTTTCCCGTTGCTCTCCTTAGTCAGGCGAGCGGGCTCCGCGCGTCGCTGTCTTCCGATCCGATGAGGAGCCGTGGGGCCGGTGTTGCTGCGTTGGGTTCTCTTGCTTCGAAGCTGCAGTGTGGTGTGGCTGTAGCAGAACATTCAGCTTTGGTCTGTGATGCCGGCATCTCTCTTGTCGACACATGATGGAATGATGGATTTCCGGCAGAACTTTGAGGAGCTTATCAACTGCGACTTCGTGGATGTGCTCATCATTTGCACGCCAAATTTCCAGCACATCCATACGCTCCGAAAGGTGCTTGCAAGTTGCTGCCTCGCAAATCCTTGAGCTTTCCATGTCACAGGCGATTATGTCAGGCAAGCACATCCTTTGTGAGAAGCCGTGCCTTGACAAAAAAGTGTTATGGTTGGACTCCGACCAAGTTCGTGGTGCGGTCTCAACTCGTGAGTCACAGCTCACCAGGTTATGCACGACCGTGGAGGACTGTGAAGAGGCTCCTAGGATTCTATAGGATTCTAGGGATCTTCTCGGGAAAACGTTCTTGGAAAAGGTTCCGTGACGCGAGAGCTGCTGGCACTCGAGGTGGAGCGGCTCCTTACGGAGCGCGTCGTGCGCTCCGGATCTGAGAAAGCGCCGGTCTTCATGTCCCCCGGCTGCTTCGGTTCGAGCATGTCCGAGGCGGGCTTAGAGGCTTAGAGGCGGAGCACCACGGAAGCCTGCAACAGCAGACGCACAACCGACCCAAGAATTGGAAGAAGCGGCAAGTGCAAGGCCAGGTCAGGAGATGAGCAGCAACTCGCGGGATGTCTAGGCAACACGAGCGTTGGGGCTGCGCCCGTTGCGCAAGAACAACTGTGCAACTGCAACTGTATCGTTTTGGTGGTGGGGAACACTAGGATTGCTCTTGCACGCATACCAAGGACCGGCATGGAGTACCGATACATGCCACCCATTCGTCGTCTGATTGAGGAGTCGGACTCAAGGTGCCGCCGCCAGCAGTCTTTCTGTGCCGGTGGCAGTGCTGCAGCACGTCCTATGTTCTTGTGACAGGAAGCTGGGTGAGCCCAGGGTTCTATCAATTCGAGAGCATCGCTTTCCCTTTCTCGTCAAGGTGGATAACTGGAATCGAAGCTCGGCGAGGGAAGTTGTCCCTGCAGCGCAGAGTCGTAGCTATCTTGAGCTAGCTTGTCGCAGCTGTTGGACGGCCATGTAGCCGGACTCGCCAGATTCAGCAGGTTTCAACCGCAATACTGGTGGGACCCTGGTAGAAAAGGCAGGGCAAACACAGGGCAATCACGGGCATGCACACCGGCCTAGGGGCGCATCATGGCAAGGCCTGCCACTTTTTCGACCTCATGCGCCGCATTCTTCAAAGTACGGCTCTCATGGTGCTTCATGAGAAGAGATCACAACGGCGGAGAGATTTCCCCGTTCAGCTTCAGGCGAACCCGTCTCAGTGTATGCCTCCGGTGACCAAGCCATGAACCACAAGGACGAGGCACAGAACCTGCTGCAGACGGCGCAAGTGGTAATCCTACAAGCATGGTCGAGTGCAGGGTGCAGCAGGCACTTCAAAGTGGTAGTACTGTAGTTCCGGTTTTCGTTTTCTGGGGCGTGCAGGTCTACGACGGAGGAATCCCAGACATCATCGACCACGCCCTTGCAGCCAGGACCCTACACCTGTATGCGCGATCCGCAGGTTTGGGTGAACGAGAACTTCAGTAATCGATTACTGTCGATTACTGTCAAGGCAGGTCTTAAAGCTCGACAGCGAGAGCTTGCCATGTAGAGCTAAGCAGAGCCCTCCATACCTGGATGATCCTCGGAGCACTGGCACAAGTTCCAAGTTCACGCTTTAGTCTTCATTCGCCATGTCCCGGATCGCTTTGCTGGCAGCTCTGGCAGTTCTTGCAGGAGGCCAAGTTTTCGAGGCCGACGAAGCACTGCAGCTGCTTCAGATCTACGGCAACCAAACGGCGAGGTGCAGTCGATATCCGCATGGCCGGAACATGGACTGTGGTGATGGAGTAGCACTTTGTGGCGTCCTGGCACTGGAAATGGGAACTGGAGACGGAAACTACAAGCACCCGAGGGCTGCCGTGCATGGACTCTGGCCACAAGTGCCTCCTTACGGGACCTCGAAGTGCATGCGGCCCACAGTCAGTTCTGCGGACCCGAATGGCCTCGCGTCTTGCTACAAGCCACAGAGTGCATCTGAAAGTGCTCGACACCAGGCGGGACTCCTAAAGCCAACAGCGAAGCCGTCTTTACAACATATCAACATATGTCAACATCTCAAGATCATGTCTCAACAGCTTGTCTGGGGTGGCTGCGATCATGATCGGAGTATCATAGTCGAATGTCCAGGTGCAGTTTGAGGCGCACGAGTGGGAGAAGCATGGGACCTGCGCTGGTGCCCAGGATGCATCCCACTACTTCTCGCAGATATGCAAGCTCTCTGCCAGGCGACCTGATGCCATGTCATGCAGCTGTTTAGGCCGTTTAGGAGCAGAGTGCTACGCGTGCCGCAAGCCCTTCAGGCCACTGCAGATCATGGACGGTATCAGGGCAAGTGGAGGCACAGCTGTGGATGCAGCTGATCAGCTGCAGCGCCTTGGAGTTTGCGTTTGGTCAGTCGCCTCACATGACCAAGTCTACCTGTCAGCCTGTGCCGGCAGCGACGGTGCTTGGAAGCTCGCAGATGTGGACTCATTTGAGAAAGTCTGTGGCGCTGGCAGCGGAAGCAGCGGAAGTTCTAGCTCCTCAGGCTGGAGCCATGTCGCGCCAAGCCACAATGCCTGGGGCCACAGTCAGTCAGACCACAGCTCGTGGGGGCGCGGGCCTCCAAGCAGCCCATCCACGAGTGCAGACTGCAGTGCCAACAAGCGTGGTCCAGCTTGCAAGGGTGACATTGATTGCTGGAGCTACTCTGGATGCATGAAGTGCACCCACTCCGGATTTTGCACCCATGAGAAGACGGACGATACTCCCAAGCCGGCACAGCACAAGTCAGGAATGTGCGTTCCGGGCAAGCATGGGCCAAAGTGCAAGCACAATTCAGATTGTGATGGCGTTTCCGGATGTGTCAGATGCGCAAAATCCGGTTATTGCACATCGCACGTGTGAGTCTGAGTATATATGCGTGTCGGCGGCGGCGAGCTCGCGAATCAGCGTCGGAAGCCTTTGAACAGGACGCTGCATGTGAAATCCTCTTACACACCAGGTCGAAAACGGTACTATTGCCTGCCAGCCTGTGCTATGTGCTAGGGGGTGGTGCCTGATTGCAAGTCCTTGGGATAATGTGCACCTTGGCCTCAGACTTTTGCCAGCTGCAGGTTGTGGAGTTTGCGAATGGTGCGCGGGCTTCGCTGGACCTCTGCATGTTTGCCGAAGATGAGCAGACAGAGCAGGTGCTCAGAAAAGCTGGTAGGGTTTGGGGTCTGGGACTGAGGTACCGAAAACATGCATCCCGGAGCTCAACCTGCCGTCAGAACCAAATTTCTGTAACTCACCGATGCATGCCTGTATTTGATGTGCTGATCTTGGTATCGTCTCTGTTTTGGGAATAGAGTGGATCCTTGCTGGAGGCTCCTGAGAGCTGATATGAAGGGCTCTGTTCCGCCGTCCACCGGCAGTGCATGCAATGCTGCCAGGTGCGAGTGGTTTGCCAACAAGGCAGCGTAGAAGCGAAATGCCCGGAGTCCACAGTGCCTTCAATGCAGAATGATGGGTTCTTCAGACGCACGGGCTTTGTCGAGCCTGCATCCCCTTGCTTGCTTTCCGTCTTCTTCACAGCATTTCTGAGGTTCGCATCGTTCAGCGGCGAAAGGTGCGTGGGCTGGGACGCACCCCACCCGGAAAGGAGCCAGGATGTTTGTAGTCATGTGGTGGCTACATGCAATTCTTGCCATCTCATGCCGCAGGAGGAAAGGGCCGTGCCCGAAGTCATCCGAATTCCGATCTCGCGCGAGCTGGCAGCCGTGGCGAGACGGCAGGAGATGTTGTTTCGGCCCGTGCACGTCGCTCCCTTGGGAATTGTCACACTGCTTCATCCACTGCCAAGGCTGGTTACCACGAAGGCGCCACTTTTTTCGAGCTGGAGGCATTTGCAGAAGCAGTTCGAGGGAAGCGGGCAGTGCCAGTGACCCGTGGCATCAAATTCTGCGAGCAGAGCTGCGAAAAGAGGCTGGGATGACACCAAGACCGCTTGCAAACGCTCGCCCAAGGACTGCGCGAGACGGCAAGATGGCTGTGCTCATGGGTTTCTCTGCAGCACTGGTGCGGCAGTCTCCTCTTTTAAAAGCATCAAAGACTTTTGGTTTGTTCGCGTTGAGGTGTCGCTGCTCATCGTTCAATCGCCTTGGGCCGTCCCGTGCGCCTGTCTCCAGCAGGCCTGGTCTGCTCCACTCTCTTGCGTTTGTTGGGGTGTGTTCTCCCACACGTGCATAAGCTGCATAGGGCTACGGAGGCTATGGTGACACCCACGCCTTCTGTGCTATCTAGCAGGACAGATCATCGAGGAACCCTCTGCTGATCCTCCGCCGCCGTTGCTAAAACAGCAGGTCGGGAACTGAGGCGCTGTTGCAGCCAATCTGGGATACATGTAGCTGGTGCAGCAGCGGAAGCCATCAGTCTGCAACAACTGCAGTGGAAGATTGCAGTGCTCTAGGCCTTAAATGTTCAGCCAGCAGGAGAGTGAGCCAAAAAGTTTCTGACAAAGGTATGGTCTCGACTATGAGGACCCGTGTTGAGGCTTGCCACGGAGCTCTTTGACAGGAACCTGCGTGAAGCCTGCTACCGGTTTCCAGATTCCGTGTGAGAACGAACTCGTTTGCGTTATGCGTGCATTCAGGCGCGTCCATGCGACTGCTGGGTGACTGGAAATCGGAAAGCGATGTTTCCGATTCTTGTGAAGCCATGGCCCTTTTCCCAAGCCGACTTTAAAGGTGTTCGTGGGAGGGCTTCCATCACTTGCTGCCAGAGCCCATGCAAGTTCTCGTGATAACATGGGTTCTGGTCATCCGTTCGCGTACCAATGGTGAACTTGTCACCCAACGCAATCTGTCGCAATGTGTTAACGTGCATTTAATGCACGCTTGTGGAGAACACATCTTAGCCGTTCTTAGCATTTGGCATACGGGCTCTGGATTGACTTCTTCACTCCTCGTCCTTGTGGCTTCTCGTGAAAGCTCTGAGAAACTGCAGCCGGCTGTTGCCGGTCGTCGAGGAGAGGATGAAGCCGGACTTCTCAGTATCTCCCTGTCTGTCCAACTCTTTATGGTGTGACGGCGTGGTGTCTGTGAACCGTGGAACTCCAGGATTTGGGGGAGGGGCCTTTAAGGAGGGACAGACAGACAGGGTAGGAAGCTTCAGAATTCGTTTCTGTGCAAGAGCAATTCGCCACGCAAACCGGGTGGCCCGACGGTGCTGCAAGCTTAGGCGCGGTCTTCCCAGGCCCTATGCGCCCGCCGGTCTGATGGTTGCTGAGTAGGCCTTGTAGGCTTTTAGAGCATTCCTGGCCATGCAGAGCGGATCCAACGCGGCATTTGGTCCTTTTGCGAAATCAAGCTCTGCATGGCTGGCATGCGCATTTTCCACAGTGGAAAAATCTGACGCTTGACGTGCCATTGCGGGAGCATCTTCCGCTTGGAGGCTTCGCCGGCCAGGTAGAGCGAACTGCACTCAAGTCTGCACCACATGCAGGATCTCTGCAGTATTCAAAGGATTCAGGATGATGGCGCAAACGGAGAGTTACCAACCGTCCACGCAAAATGCGCCAAGCCGCATGCTTCTGCTGCTTACGAGCGCCGGATATACATTTCCATGCTCTGTGATGACAAAGCGCACCATCTCATCGCCGTTAATTTGCTGAGCAAGCAGTTGTAGCAAGGCTTTCCAGACAAAAGATGGAGCTTGTCAAGCATCATGGCAGCGATGCAGATGTTTTCGGGAAACGATTGGTGCCATTGTAGTTTCATGCCGCAAGACTAAGAGAAGCATTCGCAGACACTCCAAGCCATCCTTTGTCGAGACAACCATAGGCGCTTGGCCTATGGCGACATGCGATGGGGCAGATGTGCAGCAGGTGGTGTGTGTTAACATGTCGTAACTGAGACTAGCACCTGTCCTACGAGTGTTTTCGAGAACCTGGAGCTGTGTCACTACATTGTAAGTGGATTTTGGTTCTGAGAGGCAGAAGCTGCTGACGAGAGCGAGGAGGATGCAGAGGACGAGGACGAGGATGACGCCGAGGCAATCTCTGCATGCCCTTTCTTTCTGTCCACACGAAAGCATACCGTTTCCTCGCAGGAGTTGGTTGGATATCTCGAGGACGGGATATCACCGGTGCTGAGGTTGTAAGCCTCGCTGCTGTGAACGCGCGTGCAAGGCATTGCAAGGCATCATGCGCTACAGGGGTACTCACCAGCCAGTGCCAGCTTGATCATAGCTGCCAGAGCTGATGTCGCATGTCAGCTTGAACACGGAGCCGAAGAACATCTGCATTGCTCAAGCAAGTGCGGTGCATCGCTTTGCCGCAGCCGTGCGACCTTCATAGAGGCCTAAACTGCTCCGTCACGACCGCTCGTAATCCTTCAGACCGAGACGCTTGCATAGTAGCATCGTGGCCTCGCTGGCTTCAATCGCATGCTGCGGCCAGATGCTTGACCGGTGCCTGGCTTACCCAAGTGGCCATGCTAAAGCAGAGTCCCTGACGAGTCATTCGCATGGTTCCTTAAACAACCCCCGAATGAAAGTGACTGGGCAGTCAGTGTAGGCACACGGAGGCACAGATCGTACGTTGTTTGGACTCCATCTGCAGGCATTCAGTGGCTCCTGTTCCCCCAAAGGGGGCTATGCAGATCCGCTGCTGAGTTTAGATACCTCGAGTCACAAGGCCATGTGAAATGAGAGAGTTTAATTCCTTCTGCTAGCCTACTTCGAGCTACGAATCGCAAGCTGTGAAGACTGAGCGAGTAAGTCAAGCTTTTTCTACGCCTGCGGCCTTCGCACACAACGACATGGAGGCAAGTTCGGGGGTTCTCAGTTCTGCGAGCTCTTTGGAGTCGCCCCGGTGCTTCTTTCCAAGGGCATGGCTCGGACAATGTACCCGGGGGAGGTGAGCCCGGGAGGTCGATCCGGTACCTTGGCACGGAACGGAACTTCGAAGGGCTCAACGAGATCAGAATTTGATGTGAGGGTTTCGGAAAATATGGGATCCTAGTCCTAATATAGTACCCCAAACAATAGGCTCCTTATTATAAGGACGCTAAAATAAGGTACCCCAATTTCGGAAAATCCCATGTTAGCTTCGCGAGGTCGAAGCCACTTCAGCGATGCAGTGGCGCCCCAAGTGAAAGCAACACACTCCAGGCAGGCATGACATGTGGCAAATCTGCGTCTGAGGACATGTCTCCTGTTGGTCGTCGCGGAGCAGTTGTCTCAGCCCGACCCAGCCTGTCTGAGCCTGTCCAAGTCTGACCTTGAATGCAATCCTCGGGAACTGAGGAGAAGCTTCACACGCTTCGCTCCACTGGCGGCTTCTCGACGCGACCCATGAGCCGCGGGGCTCAGGGTGGACCCTTTGTGACAAAGGGGATCGGCTTGTAAAAATCGGCGAAGTCGACTGCCAGGTCGGATTCAGAGTGCGCCACTTCTACACGCGCAGCAGTCGCCCGCCGTGACCACGTGGTGCCCTGCACGCAGTTCATCATGCGGAAAAGCAAACTAAATCAGCAAAGTGCAAGGTATACGAATGCTTCACAGTCCACAGTTCTGACCTCAGTTGACTTGTGTTGCAGACAGGTCTCGTCCGTGCACCTGAAGTGGTGCGATTGCATGCTGCTACTTGTAGCAGCAGCACTAAATGGCAACACTCGCTTGCCACCGCACTTGCTAGCCATGCATGCTCGTGTGCCTTTGCCGAGTTCGGCAGCCCATCCAATCGACGCTCGTGGCAGCCATTGGCAACATCTTTTCGTGAGTGGGACGATGCTGGCCCGCATTCCTATGGAGCACACGGAAGCAAGCACAGGAAGTGGCACCGGGTTTCCTGCAAAGAGCCAGTGTATGGACTTTCGAATTCTGAACAAGGATATCCGAAACATGGGAGTTCGCGATCCCACTGACAAGCATCTTTGCAGCATTTGAGACTGCTTTGGTAGTGTTTTTGGCTATCCTCCGTCTCACTTCCACCAGTCTGAGCTGTTGGTAGCGCAGGCGAGACTTCGCCAATGGATTGGCTCCTGGCTTGGAATGTTTTTTCTTTATTGGGGGTACGTGCGCGGCCCGTGTGGCTCATGGCTAAGAAGCACTGGTACATCCTTGTGCTATCCTGTTGCTGCAGTGAAGATCCGCTGATGAATCTTGTTTCTTCGCCTGCTTGGCCCCTGAGGTGCCGAACTGGAGTAAGGATAACACCATGCGCATGCAGGGCATGTGGCAGCCTCAAGCGTGTGCAAATCTCACCAAGTTTTCTGCCGCCTGTGCACTGGGGAGCCAAGGCTGGAACATGTCTTGTCATGGACGTACTACCACATCCAGCGCGATGCAAGCTCCTCAGTGTGTCGCGGAAGCTCTGAATATACAAGGCCCGTTGAGCTCCATCACTGGTAACCGATCCGCCTGAGCAGGAGGAGCACCCCCAGCGCAAAGAGGCCGGACAAGTCTCCACCAGCCCAGCAACTTGGGCTGGGACTGTGAGTCCTTCCTTCCTCGAAGGGTAGGAATTTCAGCCTTTGGTCAAAGAGCGGTGGGAAGCATGCTCGACTGTAACCGGGAAGCCTAGTTTCTCTCGCGGGAAGAGGCGGCTATGCTTTGGCTTCTAACACTCTCTTTTCGGTTGCGTTGTGCAGGTCGGCGAGTATTTGGATCCGCAGGAAGGGAGCTCAGTCGGCAGTCTTCCCTGCAAACCTCCAACTCATCTCAAGCTACCCTGCACCCTAACCCTAAACCCCCTAAACCCTGGATGTATTTGGAGACTTGCTGAAAACCCCCTAAACCCTGGATGTATTTGGAGACTTGCTGAGAACGTGCCGGTGGCCCTCCGCTCTGGGCCCGGGCCCTACCCTTTCAGAAGGGCCTCCAACGGCCCGGAGACGAGTCAGGAGTTGTATCATATCATATCATATCATATCATATCATATCATATCATATCATATCACATCATATCGTATCGTATCGTATCATACCATATCATATCATATCATATCATATCGTACCGTATCGTATCGTATCATATCATATCATATCACATCATATCGTATCGTATCGTATCATACCATATCATATCATATCATATCATATCATATCATATCATATCGTATCGTATCGTATCATATCATATCATATCATATCATATCATATCATATCATATCATAACATATCATATCATATCATATCATATCATATCATATCATATCATATCATATCATATCATATCATATCATATCATATATATATATATATATCATATCATACCATATATATATATATACATAGTTATTAATTAATATGTGTATGAAATTACATTTTGTATATCTGTACGTGTGTAGACCCACACACACCTTGTAGGATGCAAAGAAATACTGCATGCATACATAGTAGATGTATGCATGTGTGCATGTGTGGATGTATGGATGTATGAATGTGTGTATGTATATGCTTGTATGTACGTACGTACGTACGTACGTACGTACGTACGTACGTACGTACGTGATGTGTACATATGAGCATATGAAGGTAGGCGTGTGCATGCATTTTGTCATGCATGTAGCATGCATGATTGCATGCATCCATGTTCGGTTATGCATGCGTAGGTCGACAGAGGACCACGGCATCCTTCGAACTTCTCCTCCTTGCCCGATCCCTGACTGGGTACCCAACATGCAGGGCCGCCCGCTTCAAGTTCTGGTGCGACCTGAAGCCGCCCTTTCAGGTAGTGCAGGCCGCGAGAAGCTAGCCTGCAGTTGGGGTTGACTGCAAAATCTGCTTGGCAGAACTGGCAGCTATGGTCCGGCAGGCTACTGCACTGCATAATCCACCATGAAGCCTTTGCAGGTCACACGAGCAGAGGAGGCTCTGGGCAAATGGCGCGAGGCGGTAGAGAGCGAAGGCACGGGACCGCCTTGCCGCGATCGCCGTCTCCCGGGATAGTTTCAATTCTACTGAAGCTGTGCAAAAGCTCTCTGTACGATCATGCATGCATCAGCATCATCAGCGGAGCCTCTGGAATCTGAACGAGGAGTAAAGCCACACCCCGATGGAGAGCTCTTCTATGTCTGCGACTGAACATCTCTTTGGTGCAGTCTCACAAATGCTCTTTGGCACCTTTCGTTTAGACGAACCCGCTGAGGTAACCTACGAGTGCCCGCTGGCTTACCATGTCGAGCGCGCCTGGGGTCTGAAGACGGCGGGCGACCCAACGATACTACATGCCGTTGTAATCTGTCACAGGGGATTCTGTCTGTAAGTCTGCCATGTCATACAGTCAAAGAGAGGATTCCTTGGCCAAAGCTGCAGCACATGGATAAGTCAAGTCACTTCAGTCACTACCATGCATCATCCTGTGACCCCAGATGGCCGGGACCTTCGACAACAAAGTGCACGGCGTTGCCAGCGTGACCCCGCTCCAGGTTTTTTTTTAAATTCTGTTCACGTGAAGCTGTTCGTGCTTTGCTTCGGTCCGAGACTGATGCATGGGAATCGCTGAACGAACTCCTTGAGGTCAGGGACGCGCGTTAGGCACAGTGTCACGTCATAGGTTATACTATTCAGTTGAGTGTCTGCAACGAGCTACCCTAACAGTCAGTCTGCACCGAGCAAGGACTAACAGAGTCAAACAGCCAAGCGTTGGAATCTAGGTGTTGTAGCTTACCTTGGCACCACACAAAAAGACTCGTCGACACCAGGCATTCACCTCAAAGCCCTTGTCCTTAGGATGCTGAAGCAGCTCAAGGTGCGAAGCAAGATGGAAGCTCCTAAGACCCCTGAGGCGCCCAAGGCCCTAAACCCAAGCCGATGAGTTTTTGGGCGCATGCCGGGTCTTCGCCTCGCAATGCGCCCAAAGACCTCCTTGGCCGGTGCGAGCCTGGCCTTCGTCGCGGCCTGGCAAAGTACTGCCGAGGTGACGGCGAAACGAGGGGGACAAGGGGAGTTACGAGTTAGAGAGAGCCCAGACTGTAACGACTGTAGGAGTAGGATTTTGTAGGACTTTGCCGCGAATCCCCACATGCAGTCAATTCAGGTGTTGAGCTGTTGAACTGAATTGAGGGCGAAGCGGAAGGAGACTTGTTGACATGGCTAGAATGGCGAGTAGAAGAAAACAGACAGTTACAATGATGCCAATGCCTGCAAGTCGTTTCTCACTGCAGCCGCAGTTGCAGCCGCATCGGCAGTGGCAGAAGTTGAAGCAGGAGTGTAGAACAGGAATACCATTCATGCTATCTTTTGAGTGATGTTCCAAAACTGTGCGCATGTCCCGAATTTTTCTGCAGCGTTTCGTCATGACCGGAATCGATGCCATCAGCCATTGGAAGGCGCTTCGCTCCTTTTCCACGTATGTCCTCAACAAGCCTCGCGGCATCGTCAGCCAGAGGAACGATGCATTGGGACGCGACAGTGTTGCATGCCCGCAATTGATTGGACGATTTCCGATCTGCTGCACCTGCTGTTGCAATTTGATCAATTTGTGCATGTTCAGCAAAGGTTTATGAGATATTTCACAAGCTGGCATGCGAAGGTGGCGCGGGCTCGCAGCCACAGGATGTCTTGACCAGCGGGTAGAAGAGGGCGCAGATGTTTTGGGCCGGTGTTTTGTGTCGTGTCTCGTGTTGAGGCCGCATTCCGGGGCCGCCACCGCCTCCTCGCGTCGGCGCTGCCGGGCGGCTGGCCACTTGCCTCGGAGAGGGAGACAAATTGGCTCAAGCCACTCCAAACAACATAGTAGTATAGTATAATATGACATAAATATCATGCAATATAATGTAATATAATATAATGTAATATAATGTAATATAATGTAATATAATGTAATATAAAGTAATATAATGTAATATAATGTAATATAATGTAATATAATGTAATGTAATGTAATATAATGTAATATAATGTAATATAATGTAATATAATGTAATGTAACAATGTAGTATCATGTAACATCATACAATATACTGTAATCTCAGATTATATAACCAAGGCCCGAGCCCCAGAAAGAAGAGGGCCTTCGGAGCGGAGGGAGAAGGGGCACCCCCTTAACGAGGCCGAGATAACGACGACTGCCGGGGGACACCCCGAGCACGGGGCAGAAGCCGCAAGAGCACGCCGAAAAAGCACAAAAGCAAGAGTTGCCGAAGCTGCACCGTGCAAAAGCCAAGTGACTGCTGCCACTTTTCCATTTGTACCTCGCACGTTAATTGGCTGTGGGCTGACCGAGATGCTTGCATGGGGGTATCTGCACTCTGCACTCTTGGTGTGCTGAAGAAGAATGAGTCTGAGACAGGGACAGTGCGAAGTTCGGTTTCAACACTGTTCAGTCATGCCAAATATGGTTCCCAAGGACAAAGACACGTCTGGTCTCATTGTTCGAGCCCCAGGAAAAATCAATGAATGGGGCTACGAGTTGCCAGAAGATCACCGCGCACAGTTCGCCTGGTGTTCGCGTGTGGGATGTGGCTCAGGTCCTCACAGACGATAGGACCAAGTCGAAGCAGATGGATGTTTGCAACCACGTGAATGCCGCTGCCACACAGTGTTCCCGTTCTGCTACGCCGCAGGAAGCTGAACGCTGCCCTCACTCAGAGTCGCACCTTCTCCAAGCGGTACGAGGTCACGGCCCGAGCCTTGGCGAATCAGCCTTGGTTTGTCCATGGGAGGGTGCCGGGACCCACGTGGTGTCAGGGCTCTGTATCTTGTCAGACTCCGAGGTGAAGGGCCGCTGGACTCCCGAGGATGACAAATTCCAGAAGCTGACGGAGCCGACGCTTGGAAGGGAGGAAAGGTTCACGCTTAAGTTTGGGTATTTCACACACAGTACAGAACAGGACAGGACACAGGACAGGACACAGGACAGGACACAGGACAGGACACAGGACAGGACACAGGACAGGACAGGACAGAACATAACATAAAATAACATAACATAGCAGACTATCAGTTCAATTCATGTCATAGGTCATATCGTGTGATATCATATCATACTGTACACTAGAACAGAATATAATGTAGTGTAAAATAACACAGGCTTTAGTGTAATATAAACATGATATATTTCACAACATGGTTTACTACATTACAGTACATTACATTACATTACATGACATTACATTACATTCCATTCCATTCCATTCCATTCCATTCCATTACATTACATTACATTACATTACATTACATTACATTACATTACATTACATTACATTACATTACATATTACATTACATATTGCATTACATATTACATTACATATTACATTACATGTTACATTACATATTACATTACATATTACATTACATATTACATTACATATTACATTACATATTACATTACATATTACATTGCATATTACATTACATGTTACATTACATATTACATTACATATTACATTACATATTACATTACATATTACATATTACATTACATATTACATTACATTACATTGCATTACATTACATTACATTACATTACATTACATTACATTCCGTTCCGTTCCGTTCCATTCCATTCCATTCCATTCCATTCCGTTGCATTCCGTTGCATTCCATTGCATTGCATTGCATTGCATTGCATTGCATTGCATTGCATTGCATTACATTACATTGCATTGTTCTACACTAAATTATGCTATAGTATAGCTTAATACAGCGTAGTATAACATAATGCAACATAACATGATACAAGGTTACATTATAGTATACTGTACTATATCATCATGTGCTACATCATGTTTATACTATATTTCACTATACTGTACTATATGATATGATATGATGTCATTTTTTGTTACTTTATAGTTCATTATATTATACGGTGTCATACGGCAGTTTATTGTATTGTATTAACTATGCTATGTTAAACCATGTTATACCATATTATCGTTCAATAAACGCTGTTATTACTACTGTTACATTGTATTATAGTATACTCTACTCTAAAATAGTACTATATTAAGTTGTGTTGCATCACATTATATTCTGTTATACTTCGTTATTTTGTATTATGCTTTATTATGTTGCATGATTTTGCCTTAGCTTATACCGTTGCAATTTTGCTATGATTGCTATTATTGTTATTATATCATGCTGTTGTATATTATATTATGCTATACTATACTGCACTATACTATATTATGCTATTTTATTTTATGTTTTACATTTTAGCATAGTACACCATATTCCATTCTATCCTCTTCTATTGCATATATTGTATCATATTCTACTACAACATATTGTCTTATGTTATACTGTAACATATTGTACTTTTATATTTGCATTCACACTATTGTGTCATATAAGTAGTATTATGCTATGGTATCTACTATTTCATATTATAGTATTTTTTATGTTTCATGATACTCTATATTACTGTACTACGTTATAGATTCTGTCATGTTCTACTCTGTTCTGTTCTATTCTAGTCTGTTCTATTCTCTTCTGTTGTTTTATGTTACAACTTATTGTTTTTTGTCATATATTATATGTATCATAACAACTTGTAAAATGTACGGTGACAGTATGCACCAAAATGCTAGCATAGCCGACAAATAACACAAGGTCGTTCATATGAAGATGCAATGATTTCCCATCGATTGTCATACGTACGGGTCGTACATACGATAAGCATAGTGGCAATATACTTGCATTGTGCCATGCACTGAAGTCACCAGTAACAACCGCTCTGCAAAATCACTGAACCCTTTCAGCATCTGCATGGCAGTGGAAATCTGGTCCTGCAAAACCTTTCGGACACATCAGCGGAACCTTTGCCGTTCGAGAATTCGACGGCCACAATGCCGATGTCAGAGTCTGTCGTAAGTCGCAAGCACCCTCGCTGGTGAGGCAGCCATTGCCATCAAGGGGGTCGGACGGTACAGACATACTACAAGGACCTAGGGGCTCGGCAACGCTGCACCATGTGTATATGTATATGTATAGTATATGTAAAATACGTACATATATATATATATATGCATATACATATACATATATTTATTTATACATATATTACACATGCGTACGCACACGCGCACACATCTCTACATACACATGGAGTCTGCCAAAGACTGTCAATGCCTAGAGCAGCAAACCTGCTGTTTTGATCGTCGTTTGATTGCCTTTCTGCCTCCTCTGTCTTCTAAGAGCTAGCCTGCAGCAATGAGCCCCTAAACCCTAGCCCTAGACCTTCCAAGATACCGCTACCACCGCATCCAGACCAACTCTGGGAATGAATATTGGACTATGCCGGCGAAGGTGCGCAACAGTTTCTGAGCCAGATGATCGCTATGCAGACCCGAACTTGTGTGGTCCTTGCGGCAAAATTCTCCGGTCACGACCCTTTACGTGGAAACCGGCATAAACTGATAGGAAAGAAAACACTTGGCAGACAGGAATGATGATCTCAAGCATGGAAGACTTGATCTCCAAACCACGAGAGTCGTATTCTCATCATCTTACCTTCCGACCGGGATAATGATTTATTCTTCATTGTTGCTGGCCTGCTGAAAGCAAGTGTTCTCCCAGAGAGTGCCCAATGCACAGGTCAGTCTTCTGCATCATTGGCGCGAGCCTGTCGAACCGCTTATTCCGCCAGAGCTTGGAGATCCTCGGCATCCAGCCTAGGTTCGGGGCTTTGGGGAGCTTTCTCTCAGGCTCTCTACGCGGTCTCAGAAGTTCAATCTGATCTTTCTGGTGTGTGTTGATATTCCCAAGGATCGGTCCAAGCTCGTTTTCGAGCTTTGGGAAGGAAGGCATGGTAGCGTCCTTGTGTGTGTATGTCCTTCGAATCCGAGCAGCCTGTGCGATGTCTCCGGAAGTTTAGGTTTGTTACAAGACTCAATGCACCTTGCTTTCAGATTTGGTTTGAACTCTGCTGACTTTGCCTCCAGCAGGCATCATCAAATCCGCCGGCTGATCAATCGATCAGGCTCACGTATTTCCAGATTCTGCCTTGCTCAAGCCGACATCCATGACGTCCATGCTCGAGACGGCTGCGAGCTGAATTTGCCCGACGATTTTGTTGCGAACAGCTGTTGCAGAGCAAGATGAACAGCAGATATCCAGCACCCTTTATCTGAACGAAGTTGGAGAGGTCTTGTCTGCAGCCCTCATCGCTCTGAGTTTTCTGTGGAAGTGAAGCTACTGCACATGAGGTCTTGCAGGAGGGCGTCCTTGTT